GCAGGCAGGCAGGCAGGCAGGCAGGCAGGAAGAGGAGACAAATGGTGGTGGCTGAACTGGAAAGTGTTTCTACTTGTATCAATTGAATCTCTCCAGCTGATAAATCAACTGATTGGTTTTCTAGGTCATCAGAGTAACGGCTACAGATGCAGACATAGGAATAAACGCACAACTAAAGTACAGCATAGTAAATGGAGGGGATGAAAGGTTCATCATTGAAGGCAAGGACTAGTACTCTAATACAAGGAATATATAGATATAATATGTGACTAAAGTTTCTTCTAATTTTTTCTAAAAAATAGCTATATCGATGTTTACTGTATTGAGCACAAATTTACCCTATATATATTTATTGATGTTAAAAGGACGAAGTTGACTCACCATGTATTTGGTTGTCTCTAACAGATACATCCGGGATAGTTCGTCCATCTGGTTACCTTGACTACGAGTCCATGTCAATCAAATACTTTGTCCTGAATATCTCAGCCAGTGATGGAGGTCAGCCCCAGTTCTCCTCAACAACCCTCGTGAACATCAGTGTAACAGACTTCAATGACAATAAACCAGTTTTTAACTCATCATCGTATTCAGCTGAGGTGATGGAAACGGCGTCTGTTGGTGATAGGATAACTACTGTTACTGCGATGGATATGGATGCGGGGATTAATGCATTGGTAGGTGTATCCATTAGTGACGCTGCGTTCCATCACCCCTCACCCCTCACCCCTCACCCCTCACCCCTCACCCCTCACCCACCAAATATCCCTATTTCCCACCAAGCTAATTACTATCACCCAATCCTTTTCCTAAAAACCAAAAACCTTTTGCCTAATTTTAATATCTAACTAACCGACCGACCTTATCACCCCTAAGCTTCCCATCAAACCATTTAACCAAACAGTCAATAAAATAACCCCACCCCACCAAACGAAAACAAGCATGACGCACCAGTTTCAAAAACCAACTAGTAAAAGYATTTTTCTTTGTGTTGCAGATTACTTACAGTTTGTCTGGAGATATCGACACATTCAGTGTTGTACCGAATACTGGTGAAATACGGTTAACAAAGTCTATTGATCGCGAGAAAAAAGACCAATACAAACTGACTATCACCGCATCCGATGGTGGAACACCAACATTATCCTCAAAAACCCATCTAACCATTGACGTGCTTGACGTAAACGACAACCCTCCGGTATTCACGTCCCGAGTATATGCGCGCACAATGTCCGAGGGTGTGGCAGTCGGTACGATTGTAATAACAGTACAAGCTAATGATGCCGATGTTGGTGTTAATGGTCGGGTAATGTATCAAATTCTCCATGGCAACGCTGGTGATTTATTCGAGATCGATGACGTAACAGGTRCAATTCGATTGGCTAAGCCGTTAAACCGAGAAACAAACGCGACAATAAAGCTAACTGTGCTTGCAAAGGATCAAGGGAAGGATAATCAGTTTAGTGACCAGGCGGAAGTCGAGATTGTCGTTACAGATGTGAATGATAATGCGCCGGTCATTCGACCGAGAAAAATGACAGCTTCTGTTCCTGAGGTAAGGTTGTTGAGAATTTGAGAAAACAAGATCAACGTGGCAATGCTATGGACCCTTTAACCTTGATCCGACATGTTTTCCCAATTCAGACCACGTGTCATTCAATGGTGTCATTTCCTTTTTTTGTTCAACGGTTGCACATGAAAAGAAACATGAATATAGAAGGAATGACACGTGGTCTGAAATGGGAAAATATTACGCCCAAAACAAAAGGGTCTATAAAAGAAATAATACTCAAGGGAATGACACGTGGTCTGAAATGGGAAAATATCACACCCAAAGCAAAAGGGTTTATATTTCCAACAAGTTCTTTGCCGCTAATCATATGAGATGCGCAACTGAGTGCTCGCAATTTTGATTGTGCGCAGTGAAAAAACAAATCCAATGCATGGAAAGTCGCGTCTAAAATTGTATCAACCAAAAGCACCGAACTACACTTAGATTCGTGTTTTATCTTTAACCAGAATTCCATAGTAGGAACATTTGTATTGGATGTTAACGCTACCGATGAAGACATTGATTATAACGGTCACGTGACCTATGCTATCATGCATGGAGGCGATGGGAGGTTTGTCATCAACTCTTCAAGTGGTGTTGTACGAACGACTGGGAGCCTGGATAGAGAGACCAAAGATCTTTATACTGTAAGTAGACTTATCGTGTGTTCTGCCGGTTGCGTATCTTAAACCCTAACGCGCTCACTCAGAGCGTATTGTCTTTTATAAAATTGATTTTTATGAGCGTGAAAACTCTCGGTAGACTGCACGGTTACGGCCGGTATCTGGTGAGCAAATCACAATGCGCGTGACTGCTGAGTACCCAATCAGAATGCTCGGAGACGCGGTGCACGTACTGTGGTATTTCGAGAGTCCAAAAATCTTCTTTAGCACCGATAGATGAAAGTGTCAGTTATTTTAAAGGTTGAAAAATTGAAATGAAAGTAAAACAAGTGTTCACTTATTTTGACAGCTTATTGTGATGGCACGTGACCAAGGATCAATACCATATATGGACTTCGGCACTATAGATGTTCACGTGATCGATATGAATGACAACCTGCCTCTGTTTACTTCGGTATGTTCCTAGTCTCTATGAAATGACCTTTTTAGTTTGTGCGTAATGCATTCTCATTTCAAGCCACGTGTCATTCCCTGGAGTATCATTTCTTTGTTTAACGACTGCACATGAGAAGACATATGAATATGGATACAACTCAAACAAAGAATCTTATTCTCAAGAGAATAACACGTGGTCTGAAAAATGGAAAATCATTAGTTCAGAGGTCTATCGACTTTCCATCGATTAATATAATTACCAATTAAAGTGTTGTTCACGTCTAATTCATCATTCTTAAAGATCTTTGGACCATTTAGCGTACTCGAGAACCAGGCAACAGGGAGGCTTGTTGGTCGTGTGTTTGCTAAAGATAAAGATATTGGCTCTAACGCAGCCCTGACATATGGCATATCAGGTAAACTAAACCTATCTAACTTCAGATCCAAGTACATTCCTATTTCAAACCATGTGTCATTCCCTTGAGTATTACTATATTTCAGTTAACGAGACAAACACGCCGGGTGCTTCAAAGTAAAAATCTCCAGGAGACTTTAACCTTTTTTTTTTTCTCAGCTGGACCAGGTTCTACAGACTTTACAGTTAATAGCAAAACCGGAGAAATTTTCACTGCAAAGTCATTGGTGAGCTTTACTTTAGAGAATTCTGGAGGTGTTAATATTTGACGCATGCGCATTGGGTGCACCTGATTCGCACTTCCTATCACTTATAAAATACAAACTGTTTCAAGACGTGTTCGTGTTGGTGGGGAAATAGTTATGCGAATTTAATCAAACAATCACTTCTCTAAGTATCTAATTACAACTGCGTAAGCTAATATTGTAACACAAACCATATTTTAAATTCAGTATCCTAACATCTGATATCTGTTTTCTACCAGATCGAGTAATAGTTCAGGGTATTGAATATTTGACGCATGCGTAATGGAAGTAGTATCTTTGTAAATTTTGTTGCTTCAGGACCGCGAGGCTCTTTCAAGGTATGACTTGACTGTAAGCGTCACCAATAAAGATACCAGTCCCCAGCTGTCAAGCAGTACCGTGGTACGAATCAATATCCTGGACCTGAATGATAAAACACCGGAATTCGTGTCGAAATTCTATAACAAAACAATCTCCGAAGCTTCTCCCAGTGGGACCTCCGTGGTAACGGTGTCCGCGTTTGACAAGGACGAGGTATGTTTGTCACGTGACTCACACAAAACTACTGCGCATGATCTTTCTGCTCTTGCTAAAATTGACAAAAGAATCTTTCCCTCCCCCTCTAGGGAACGAATGGTCGTATCCTCTATCGTATTCGTCACGACCTCAGCAGTAGTAATTCAGATGTCTTCAATATTAATGCTGAATCAGGGAGTATGACCTTACAAGTTCAAATCGATGATCATGAATATCGCTCCTTCACTGTGATGGTTGAAGCAAAAGACATGGCCCCGTCACAGGCCCTCTCATCTGTAGTGCCTGTTTACGTTATCATTGATGACGTCAATGACAACTCTCCTGTGTTTAGCAATAAGCTTTACAGGTATTTATTAGATATYGGAGATTATTAGTTCATTAATACGCAAAAGACAGCTATTATGGATATAAGATTTTCCTATGTAGAAATTATAAAAAATGACTGACATTTGGTTGAAAAAAAAAGTCTCAGGTTGGAAATGGCAAATTTTTAAAATGAATTTTAYAAGAACCAAGAAACTATCCTAGTTTTTTTGGTTGCATGCTTTTGAGTTATGCCAGGTGCCTGGCATGATGTTGGATCCATGCAAATTCTGTTTATCAAAATTGGTAATATTCAGCCTATAATATACACAAGTGAACCATGTTACTCACCAGATTTCCTGGTCTTATAATTCAACTTTAAACCATGTTGTACTCGTAGTTCATAGCTCGTGATGTGAAAGGTCTTTGCTCTCTTTAGTATGTTGAATCGGCTTACGCATTTTCTGACTAATGTTTCTGCTCTGACTTGGAAGCAAAATGTTACACAAGAACTAGAGAATGAACACAGTTATTTGCATTATGCTAATGTAACTTTGCACGAGGAATTCACGCGGCGCAAAACTTAAACAATAGTAATAATGAAAGACAATAAGATACAACAGGTAGCCTTTGGCGTCATGCGCAGCTTGGCAAATGTACAATATCTTTCATATAGAATTCTAGAATTTTAAGATGAAAAAAAAAAAAAAAAAAAAAAAAAAAAAAAAAAAAAAAAAAAAAAAAAAAAAAAGAGAAGAACGATTCGAAAATACGATCGATCAAATATTTATAGATTTAATAATGCAAGTATCTTTTCTTTTAGCGTGCAAACATCAGAGAGCACTGCAGTTGGAACAGCAATCGCTCAAATCTCTGCTAGTGACAAAGACATTGGACCTAATGGAAAATTGACGTATAAACTGATCAGCGGTAACGAGCAAGGTACCATGCGCGCATGATGATTAAATTTCTAAAATGAGTTTCAATTATCAACCAATCAGATTGTAAGGATAAATAAAGAGAGCGCATGCGCAAAAACGTTTGAATTTTAATTTTGTTCCAATACAACAAAAATTAGATTAAATTAATAAATTATTWCTGTAGATATTTAAATAAACCTATTGATATTCTCTCAAGGTTTTGTTAATTTTGTTTGTTATCTAGGTAATTTTAGAATCAATTCAAGTTCAGGTGTCATTGCTGTTAACTCGCCCATCGATCGAGAGACCAACGCCTCGTACAAACTGATCGCGGGCGCGTTTAATGATGAAATTCTTGCTTTTAACAATACGAGATCTAGAAGACAAGTGAAGAAAAACATCGACGGTAAGATTTATATGGAATATACCTCTATTTTGACCCTAATGTTTTCCCATTTCAGACCACATGTCGTTCCCTTAAGTATTATTTCTTTTCTAGATCCTTTTACTTTGTGCGTAATGTTTTCCCATTTCAGACC